TACGTAGCACGCATGCGGTCGCGTGGAGGTGCGCGATTGTATGCGAGGCATGTGCCGGCGGACGAAGCTTCTCTTCCTTTCTCGGCGACGACGGGGAGGAGGGAGAGAGGAAGCTAGATAGATAGGAAGAAAGAGAGATAGACGAGAGCGCTTGAGGTGGATCGCGGAAACGCATTGCCTTTAGCGTCGATTTTCTTTACGCTCTTACACGGCGGCCGTCGACCGCCCTGCCCTTACCTTGTTCCCCTCCCCCTCCCCCCGTCTCTCACCCCCCACGATCGAATCGATTAAAGCCCTCCCTCGAATAGCGGAATAATGAATGTAATTGTCGCGTTCCTCGTGTGTAGTGCTAAGGAGAAAAGGGTTTAAAAAAAAGAAGCGCGAAAACGACTGGTCTTCTCGGTAGATAGATCTTTTTCTAGGCTTAGTGCACCGCGGTTTTCCGTCGTCCCGACGGAGCCGGAAAGCAAGTACCGTATAGGGCCAACAGCGTTACTTCTCAAGCGACAGCCTTATCCTTCCTTCCCTCCCTCCCTCCTTTCTTCCCCTGTCCCTGCAACCTGCGTCTTCTCCTCCGTCCCTTCGTCGTGCATGCGTCCATGTATACTTTCACGCGACACATACACGACATATGTCATACATTTCATACATATATACGCATTAACACATATACACGCACACGCATGAATGTATGCATACACAGGTATCCTTATCCTGCCCCCTCACTCGTCCTCTCGCCACCTTCTCCTCGTCCCTTCACGAAAGGCTCTCGACGACTCTTATGTGATTATTTAAAGACTTATTTTTTCTATAATGATAACGATAATAATGATAATAAGTTAATGCGTAGCGAAGAAACGTTTTATTAAGGCGATAAACTGCGATAATTGCGCAATCTACGGCAAAGACTCTTACTCGTGTATAAACATGACGTACGGAAGTAACAACGCAACACACACACATACACACACGGACACACATTAACAATTATTATTGAGAAAACAAGTGAATTATGTACGAACGGCGAATAAATAAAGGACATGAATCGACGACGGGCTTCGATTACGTGCCACCGAAGCCATCTCCGGTTTATCAATCCTCGTGATCATCCTAATAAGTACTTTCAATATTGTTTCCTGCGCGCTCTATTTTGAAATACTTCGAGCCGATCATGTGGACCATCTAAATTTCCTTTCTCCACCAATCGCGTACGCGTGATTGGCGAACCATTCCGAGGAAATTGTATACAAGACGCTATAATTACACGAAGTTGTTGATAAATGTAAATTGTTACGTCCTAATTCCAACTAATTCTATATATGTACAAAAATGACAAAACACCGAATGCTGCTGCGCGAAAGTGCAGCGATCTTTTTTATGTAACAATGTTAAACGAATAAAAAAAAAATACTTGCAAGTATCGATAGTGGATACTTTCTCTCGGTCGACAATGAAGAACTGGCCGTTGCCATCTGGTGTCTTACGAAGTATGAAATTGCAATTTATGTCTTCACCGGTTGAGTGAAAGTATCAGTTGCCGATACTTCCGAATATTTCTGCGATAAGTAATCATTTCTTTCTTTTCTGCAGCAGGGAATTGGATCTCTTCGTTCTCGAGGCTTGCTCCTTTATTGATGAACGATACTTGAACGGCGCGATTATGTGCCATAGTCTCCAACAGAGGCAATCAGTTAGCTCTTCCTCTATTTCTTCAACCTCGGAGATAAAGTTTGACGGAACCTTTCGGTCGATACTCCGTTTATCTTTCCCATCTGGTGAAATTACGTGATCAGAAATTGGCACGTCGTGCTTCTCCTTGGGAGAATTATCATGATTAGACTGAAGATTCTTAGCGAGAAAAATCGAATAGCGATCCTTCGCAGGACTTTCCTCTGATCCATTAGCTTCATCCTTTCTCTGCTGTGTTTCTTCTCCGTCTTTCTTTTCGAAGGAAGAATTCTTAATGTCCTGCACCCACAGATCATCCCGGTCGTATCGTCTGGGAAGATGTTCCTGAGCGATCGCTTGGAAGCTCTTCGTCTTCTTCGAGGTTTCCCACGAAGAGACGAGCGTAGGCTTCGATCTCGCGGCATGATGATCAATCCAACGATCGTCGGAGCACGTTTTACGAGCTTCCTCTATCGACGAATCACCCGAGCAACTATTCGCTTTGGAATCCGCTCGACAAGCGTTATTTTCATAAATAATCTTGGCCGATTCCGGAGTCTTGTCATTCGGCCGCTTCGGTGCTTTCCTCAGCTTCGAAAATATTCGTATGAACGCCTTTAGCTTGGATTTCGAAGACATCGCGTTCTCCTTTTCCTGCGCAACGCAGCACAGGATATCCGTCACGGTGTCCTCCATACCCGAAGTGGCCAGTCTCGTTACGCTAGGATGCGTTTTTAGCTGGTAAACGGTCTTCTCTCGCAGCTGATCGTCCATTTTCGTACGGCCGAAATTTTCATCGGGTGACTGATAATCGCTCGCGTTCTCGTGTTTAGCTGACAGCGCTCCCGACGCCTCCGAAATTGTGAAGGGAAAACGTTCTTGGCTCTTCTTCTTCTTCCTCTTTGGCTCGTAATTCAAGTTCAGCATCGACGAAGATATCCTCGCGGCAAAACTAGACAGTTCCTGCGTCCTGCGTACCTGGAACGTCAGGTTTTCTGATTGCGCGATCTTCGTGATTTCCAAATTCTGATCGAGGCTTATCTTGTCGTCGTTAAATTCACCATCATCGCCAGCATGTCGCTTTCTACCGCCTTTCTGGATCTCCGATGACGAATCAAATTGCTGAGTTCTCAACGGCGATGAATCATACCTTCTTAGTTCGTAATGCTTGTTTTCCTGCAAATATGGTCCTTCCGGCATTTTGTCACGCGACACGTAATCTTTGTCCTTCGTATCTTCAGGATTTTCTTCATCGTTAATTGACGCGCACTCGTCCTCCGTTCGCCAAGTGACATTCTCCTCCACATTTCTCAACGACTCGATTTGAGACGACTCGGTTTTCTTGTACTTAGACGGACCTGGCGACTCGGTAACGCTCGTAACGTCCATTGTGTCCACGCTCTTCCGGGACGTGCTGCGGTCCGATCTCGACCGTACGTCGTCGTCGATCCTCGCGTAATCTTGACTACTGGGGTAAGCTGCTTTACGGAAGAACACGGGCGGACAACTTTCTCCTTGAAATTTACTCCCAGACAGACGTTGCATTTTGTCGCGACTGTAATCGCCAAACGGCGTGCTTTGGGAATTCCGTAGATTCGAGGAAGTTAAGCTTCCGGGCGCGCGATCGTTGATCTCGAATTCCGCCGTCTTATCGTCCGGCGCGAATGCGCCTCCAGCGATCGCAACTTCAATACCCTTGCTCCTCAGCGATTTCAACGAAGAATCCCGTTTGCAAATTTGAGAGCACGACAAATTCGTTACGCACGGAACGTTGTTTCGTTCGATGAATTTTGATTGCGCGTAATTTGCAGTCTCACTGGAATTCTCTGGTATGTAACATCCTGAGAGTTTATTGCCCGGCGATATAATCTTGCTACTGGAGATCCTGACGGGTATCTTGGAAGAAACACGCGACAGCGATTTTTCAGGCGACTCCGACGTCGAGAATCTCGGTACGCGCCACGTTTCCCCTTTCGTGGGAAAATCCGAAGCTCTACTCGATACATCGATCGTATCCTTGGCACGATAAAAGCCCTCGCGTTTTCTTGACACATCCCCGCCCTGATGTTTTTCCTGTCTCAGAGATACATCTGATAAAGCTTTGATCAACGCGTGGGGATCGAGAGGCCGCGTAGCGGAACATTCCCGACTGCCTGCCGACGTAGAGTACGAAATATCCTGCGAATTTAACGCAAGCGTGGGAACTTTGGTTATAATTTCCCGATCGCATTTATCCGACGTGTCGATGCCGTTCTGCGGTCGTCTACTCGAGAACGTTTCTTTCTGTGAATATATTTTTGCCGTGCAGGATGACCGACTGTGATCTTCACTTCCGTATGGCTCCGAAGTCTGTGACGATAAAGCATCTTCCACAACGTCGTTTTGAATTGCTTCAATAAAATGTGACGTATCGACAGCATCTTTTGTGTAAAGACTCGTTGATCGGTTCCATTCCGCAACATCGAGAACATTCCCGTTGTTTTCTAAAGACGTGGCTTCGAAATTAGACCGGCCTGTCGGACAATTAAATTCAAATTGATTTTGAACGTCGTCGTGGTGTATTTTCGATGTGATACGCTGATAATCTTCCACTTCTTCTCTCTTATCTTCGAATTCCGATCCGACCAGTTTAAATTCATTATAAGCTTTCATCGCAGGCTCATTATGAATTACTTGTTCATTGTAAGTACTCGTTACAAGTTCCGCCGACCTCGGCATAAAACTTCTCGCGAAGAAAGTCGATGTGGCTTGCGGTGTCTCTTGTTGCTGATAACGCGTGTCTTCATATTCCGGCTCGGCTTGCCGAAGTTCGCTGGAAGTTTTCGCTACAAATCCGTCGTGACTTGTTCGCTCGTTACAAGTTTTCGTTCCGTCACGATTTACTTGTCCGATATAACTTCGCGAAGTGTTTTCGGCAATCCGGTGATTGAGATCGTCGTTGTCGAGCGATCGCGACGAAGGCAGAAGGTTCGGCAATATTGACCCGGTAATGTCAGTTCTCGCGGACATAATGGGCATCTTCTTGATGGGTCCATTGACGGATGAAACGGCCCTGGATTCCGGCGAGGATAATTCCAAAGTTGCAATAGTATTGCCAATTTTTCGGACGGAAGAAAATCCGCGACTCGCTCCATTGGCGGATTCCGATTCGCTGCCGGAGCTCAGATTCTTCATAATTACACCGGGAGATGGACGGTACCCTCCAAACTTCTTCGGTTGAACGCCA